ATGAAATAATAACGAGAGCGAAGGCACGGCAGCCGCCAGCTCCCGCTGGCATGTTTTATTTACAGCCGTGATCCTTGGCTGGAGCAGCCCTGGCTCCCCAGGAGATGTGTGTGGGGCTCCCCTTCTCCTGTGGGGAGAAAAAGGGAAAACACCTCATGTCCCTCACAGCAGGGACCACAGGGAGAGCAATAGGAGTAGCTGTGGGTTAGTGCTGGGGTCACGTTCCCCTGAGGATCGTGGGGACCTGCTCTGCACAGGGCATGGCAGGCAACGTATCTCCATCCGCCTTGTCACCTCGTTTCTCGATGGAGGGGGCAGAGCTGCACCCAAAGCCTCTGGATCAGTCCCAGAGCTTCCCAGCAAGGGAGAGTTACTGTGGGAAAGGTCTGTGACCCCTCCAGCCCCTCTGGCAGCTCTGCTGCTGTTCAGACCCACTGGCTCAGCCCGTGGGACCTGCTCCATGCCCACCAAGAGCTTTATTCCCTGCAAAGCCCGAAGTCAGTGTGGAGCGAATGAGCTGCCACCCGATCCCATCAGCTCCCAGTCCCCCTCCACCTCCCCTCCTGCTGCACCTGCAGGACAGAGGCTGTGATTTTCCCCTGACCCTGGCCGCGGCTGTCACAAGGAATTGCGGGGCTGGCAGCAAACTGCAGATTCAGAGAGACAAAGACTACTTTCCCCAGAAACGAGGGAAAATTGCTGCATCTGCAAAGATTTCCCAGGCCCTGTCCCCTCCCGTGCACATCTATCTGGAGTGACACCTTCCTTCAAGCACCCTTCATTTCATTCCCACTCACGCAACCATTTGCATTAAGGTGACCCCAGCTGCAGTGGGGCTGCCTGGGGGACCAAGGATGCCCCACCAGCCCCAGGGTGTGCTCTGGGTTTCTCCCCCTCTCCACAGAGTGAGGCTGCAGATGCAAACAGCACTGGACTGAATGGGAAGCCACCTGCAGGGACCTCTGTGAGGAGACAGCCCCAGGCTCAGCCCCTGAGCGCAGGTTAAAAGGAGATATCAAAGGCAGTAAGGGAAACCCAGGCCAAGCAGGGGGTTGAGGAGTTTGCCTGGTGTGTGTAGACACAGAGCCCTGGCTTGGGGGCACAGGGGACACCCAGGAGCAGCAGGATGGTGGCAGACAAAGGTGTGAGATGCCCATTGCTCAGATCCTTATGTGGATACCCAGGACTGGGGCTCAGCTGGGCCCCCCAGCACCCTGCAAGCACAGAAGTGACAGGAGGGGTGCGGCTGGACAAAGGTGGTTTGGGATCTACAGGGTGAGCAGGGACCCTGTGTCCCTGTGGTTGTCCTGGCTGTGACAGCACCCTCATCTCCAGGACTTTGTGCCCTCCCATCTTGCTGCTGCTGCTCCCCACGATGCTGACATGCCCAGCTCGAGGGGCACATGGAGGAGCTGCAAAGGCCGAGGGTCCCCTCTGAGCAGTAAGAGCTCCCAGAACAGAGCCATGAATGGATAATGCTCTGCTTCCCATGGCCACACAAATCCCAACTGGGCTGTAGCACACCAAAATCTCGCAGCTCTGCCTGGCTGTACCGCCACACCAGGAGCTGTATCCAGCTGTTTACCAGCCTTCAAGCCCCAGAATCACTGCCCTCCCACTGCAACAGGATTTGGGGACCAATTCCCTTCCAAAATGTTCCCCTCGGCTTGCAACTGCGAGATCCTGAGTGGCGGCAGCTTCATGAGTCCCTTGGCATTTTGCTGGCAGGTTGTGTTACCTGGCAACCTGCAGTGGGGAGGGAAACTCAGCCAGTGGCACCAACAGCACTCCCAACTGGGGTGGGGGTCCCCAAAACCCCTCCAGGGAAGCAACACTGCAGCAGCATGCCCAGCTGCTGGCATGGGACCCTGCAGACACCCCCTGCCACACGCTCCTGCCTCACCACGACCACAGCTCTCATCACCCCTAGGGTTCCTCCTGTCTGTTCCATGACCTCAAGCTCCTGGAATTCTTGCCAAGACTTTTGGACAGCTGTAGAACATCCCCCTGCTCTGGTTATTGATGTTCCCCTGAGGGCATCCATTGGGCTGAAGGTCCCAGTGTCTTCAAATCACTCCTTCCTAAGGAGAGCAGAAGCTGTGAGACTGAGCAGTGCTTGGGATGAGCAGATCTTCCCTTGCAAACCTGCTCTGGAGCCTGGGAGGGAGCCCCAGGCAGTATCTAAGGGATGGTTGTGTCCTTGGTGCAAAGCTGAGTTGGGCTCTCCATGCCCTGCACTGGCACAGGCAGTAGAACTATGTTTGGTCACCCATGGGGACCAGGTCCTTGGTGACCCAGACACACTTCAGGAGCAGCTCTGGACTCCATTAGGCCCCTCAAAGCAGCCCCCAGCCCACTCAGCCAGCCAGACTGGCTGTGCTGGGGATGGGGACAAGCAGCTCCAGCACGTGCAGCCTGCGGGAAGGGAAGGACACGAGCTGCCTTGTCCTCAGGGCACCCAGAGGTGGCCGGTCCCTGGAGAGCACGGATGGAGAGTGATGCCAGGGGAGGCTGAGCTCTGCCCTGGGAGATGCTCTAAGATGAGGAGGTCCCCTTGTTCCTGCCAAAATCCCTGCTCTTCTCCAGCTCACCAGACAAGCGCTGCTTGGGATGGCAGGCAGCGGTCCGGCAGCGCGGCTGCCCTGCCCCTGGGCTGTGCCCTCAGCCAGGTACGAGCCAAACCTGTGCTCAGCTTCCGAGGCAAGTGGACATTGTGGTTTGCACCAGGTTCAGCTGCTGGTCCAAACTTTAGTCCAGGTACCCCCACCTTCCTGCCAGGGTCCACCCAGCGCTGCAGGCGCCCCAATGCAGCGAGGGTCAGTCCCCCACTCATTCCGAGCTCATTCCGAGCTGCCTGAGTAGCTCAGTTTGCATCCTTGCTCTGCTCCACTGCCCCATCCCTCTCCCATCCCTGCCCATCCCGCCTGGCTCCGGGCTGCAGCCCCCGTCCCCTCGCCCTGGGCCGGGGCTGTGTCCCAGCCGCCCCCCGGAGCCCAGCTCCGCCGGCTCCCCGCGGGCACCGAGCAGGTGAACTGAACCCCGCTCCCGTTTTCCTGCTCTCCTCCGAACCCCAGAGCCTGCCTGCCACCGCTCCCACGGCACGCCACGCTCTGCGGATCGGGAAGAGGAGAGGAGAGAGGAGGGGAAGGATGGCGAGCAGAGCCGGCTCTGTGGGTGAGCACGCAGGAGGGCTGGGATGGGATTCCACTGGAGCTTGCGGGAGCTGGGATAGCAGCACCGGCTGCACGGCAAACTCTGCGCATCCTTTGAAACCCACCGTGAACCATCCAGCTCCGCGCTGGGTTCTGTGGTGGGGCTCGATCCGCGCTGCCCCGCTCGCCCTCGGGGCCACGGGGGCACAAACCGGGGGATGGCAACTTCAAACGGATGGCGCTGCTCAAATCCCTGCGTGCAGGGGCTGAGCACAGGGAGGGAGCTCTGCCAGGGAGGGGAGGACAGGCTGGTTTCTCTCTCGGAGGGTTTAGGGGTCTCCCGGGGTGCGCAGCCCCTCTCCAGGGAGGCGCGGAAGCTGCTCGGCATGGAGGGGCTGACGGGGAGAGGGGGGCGCGGGGAAGGCTGCGCACAAGGGAGAAGTCAGGCAGGAGCCCCTCTCTTGCCTTGATGAGGGTGTCAGGGGACAGGGAAGTGGCGGAGCTGGGGTCGAGCGTGTCTCACGGCTGCTCCTCTCATCCTTGCCCAGCTCCTGGGTGCCAAGGAAGGGCAGCACTGCCAGCTCTTGTCTCCTTCCCTTCACTCACAGGCTCGCTGGAGATTCGCTGTCCTCCAGTTCTTCCCAGACACGTTTGCCCATACTCCGCACTCCTTCTTCCCACCCTGCCTGCACTCAGCGCACATCCATGCCTGTGCCTATCCCTAGAAGTGTCCAGGGCCGGGCTGGATGGGGATTTGAGCAACCCGGTCTAGTGGAAGGTGCCCCTGCCCGTGGCAGGGGGGTTGGAACTGGATAATCTTTAATGTCCCTTCCAAGCCGAACCATCCTGGGCTTCTCGGGCTCCCTACCTGCTCGGCCGTGCTCTGTGGCTGGCGGAGCTGGCACACGTGCAGCGGGATGTGCAAACAGGCTCCGGCACGTGCCGGATCCCCCGCGTGTCCCCGCAGGCTCTGTCACCGCTCCACCGCACCCCGCCGCAACGCCGGCCTGCCCCCAAAAACCAGCGGGGCTCCGGGAGGTGAAGAGCGGGTCGAAGCGGGAGGGATGGCTCGGGCTGCAGCGCGGAGCTGAGATGCCAAATCCCTTTCAAAGGGTTATTTAAGCAGTTTAGAGCGTGTAGCGGTTCGGCAGAGGCGTGTGGCAGCCCCGGAGCATCGCCCGCCGGCCGGCCGGGGCAGCCCCGGGGCGGGGTGGGAACCCTGGCTGCAGGTCAATAACACACGGATTTGAGGGGGCTGAGGAGGTGCAGCCCGGGGGGCTTCGCACAGGGAGCACTGGGAGGCGGCTCGCCACTCTGGGCTGCACTGGGAGAAAAGCTTTCTGGGGACACTGGGTGGTCGCTGGGACCCCCGGGCTGGCTGACACCCCCTTGCCCCCCGCCGCCCCCCGCCCCGTACCTGTGATTTCTCCTGCTGCCCATCCTCAAGTTGCGAGGCTCCTCCCACGGTTTTCCAACGCTCGTTCCCCATCGCGCCGCCAACTTCCAGCCCAAGTAAGTGCCCGGACCCCCCCAAACCCCCCCAAACCTCCTCCCCGGCGGCGCAGCCCCCGGCCCGCCCGCGCTGCCCGGCTGGCCGCGACGGAGGACGGGCGGCGGCGGCGGCGGTGGAGAAGGAGGAGGAGGAGGGAGGGAGGAAGAGGAGGGAGGGAGGACACGGGCACGGACACGGGGGTGGATCTTCCCTCCTCGCCCGCCCCGATTCCCCCCGGGGCTCCCCCGGCCCCGCTCCGGGCACCCGGCCCGGTGATGCCCTGGGGGATCTCCCCGCCCCCCCCAGCACCGCCCGCCGCTCCCCGGACGCCCCAATCATTCCGGACCCGGAGCCGAACCCCCCCGCTCCAGTCCCGGGGTCCGCAGCTGCCCAGATGTGGCAGCACAGCTGGAGGAGCGGCAGCAGGTAAGGCGGGGGCTGGTACCAGCGGGATCGGGGGTGCTACAGGGGAGCGGGGGGGAGAGCGGGGGATGCCCCCGGAACCCGCTCAGCCCTTTCCCAAAGATACGCCCCTACATCCTCCAGTGGAACACCCCAAGCTGGTGGGGCTCAGTCCCATCGGTGGGCAGGGATGGGCAGGGTGCTGGGCGGGGGAGCGGAGAGGGTGGCACTGGCATCGCCACCCCCCCAAACCTTTGTGCCCAAGGGTAGCCAAAGCGCTGGGAGCCTCTCTGAGCAAATCCCAGCGCACTGTGGGAAGCTGGTGCTGGCGGGGAGAGGCAGCAGCCGTCCCCATCCCCTCAGGGTTACAGCGATGCCCCAACCCCAGCGTTCCCAGCCCAAAGCCTTGGTGTTGCCCTGCGTGCCAGGGCTCCCTCCCGGCCTCATGTGCCGCTACTCCCGTGTGGATGTGGTTTTCCTTCCCATAGCTTTGCCGCACCTCCCGTAAATCTTTTATTTGCCACTTGTCTGACCTGCGGGCAGGAGCGTTGCTGAGAGGTTCAGAGGAGCGTCGTGAGAGCAGCAATGGCTCAGCGCTGCTTCAATCCTGCTGGGGGGAAGGCTGAGTTCTCTCTCCAGGCTGAGAATCCCCTGGGAAACCTCCTGGGCAGCCCTGCAGCCCCTTGTCCTGCAGCATGAGGCTGTCCCCTGGGCAGGTGGTTTCCCCAAATCCCCCTGCGTTTCTGTCCCTGGAGCTCAGCCCCAGTCGGGACCTCCCAGCAGCTCCCGTGTGGCTTCACTGGGGTGGGGGCTGCCTCTCTGTGGGAGCAGGTGTGGCACAGGGGCTGCAGGTTGTATGTGTGGGGGACGAGGGGCCCAGGCAGCTTCTCTCCAGGGCACACACCCTATTTTGGGAAGAGCTGGATGAGTGCTGGACTGGCAAATATTCCCAGGGAGCTCTCTGGGGCGGGGAGGGGAGCACAGGCGTTGCTCCAAGCCATTGGTGCCCGTGGGTGTGTGGGGTGTGTGTGGGGTGTGTGCATTGTCTCCCGGCCAGGTGCAAATCCTGCCTTTGGCTGCAGAGATGTTTTGTGTGGATTTAGCGAGCGATGCTCGTGGCTGGCAGCCCAGCTCCTTCCCCATGGACGGTTTTCAAGGACTTCCCTTTCCAGCTGAGACCGGCCAGCTCGTGCCGCTGGTGCTCGGTGTGCCCGCACCAGCCGGGCTCAGCTCCCCGCTCCGCTCGCCCGTGCTGGAAGCAGGAGGCGCTGCCCCCCGGGAAGCTGTTTAAGCTGAACTCCAAACAATAAAAACTTATCATTAAAAAGAAATGCATCTTGGCTTCATGTGGCCTGGCAGCGCGGGAAGGAGTGATTCAGTGGCTTGTCAGCCCTGGGCGTTAGGCACGCCGAGCTGCACAACTGGACACTCTCCAAGTCCAGCAACTCATTTTCTGCAGATGGAGCCGGGACCGCGCAGCGGGCTGACAGTTAATTTGCAATCCAACATACCTTGACATAACCCACAGCCGAATTGTGGAGGTGGTGCAGATTGGGATACCTGGGAGCCTGCTGGCCGGGCTGTGCCCGCAGGGCTGGCCCTTCGCAGCCCTGCCATGTGAGGGGTGTCCCCCTGCACCCTGACACAGGAATCCTGCGAGGCTGCAGGTGCAGGGTCCGGCTCTGCCCGCTCCCAGCGCTGCTCCCAGTTGCGGCTCTTCAAGCTGTGCGGTGAGTGGGATGGAGGTTGCCTCCGTGGCAGAGGGGTCCGTATTTTTGGGAACTTCAATGACGCTCAAAGTGAGCCCTGCCCCGGCCGGGGGCCAGCGGGGACACCGGCCTGGCTCATCACTGCCTTAGGCTGAGCCGTGTCACCTCCTGTTACCTGCCACAGGGTCCGGCTGTGGGACCGGGGAATGGGTAGGGGCGTCCATGGCCAGCTGAGACCAACGGCCCCACAGCCCCAGCTCCACAGGCTGTGTCGGGAGGGGTCGGATGCTCAGGGTGCACCTTGTCTTGGGCTCACGGTGGTGGCTGGGCACCGATGGGCACGGACCCTCCTCCAGGGGCTGACAGGGGCTGACGGGGAGGGGGTGAGGAGGGGTTCTGCCAGCAGCCCAGCTCGGATCGATAGGCATCGGAGAGGATGATTCATGTCTCAGGCTGTGGCCCGAGGGCAAAGACGGGAGAGGTTTGATGTGAGGATGCCGGGAGGCTGCGGGTCCTGCTGGGAGTTGCGGCTCCTGGCAGCGTTCCCCCTCCCGAAGCCGGCTCTACCCGCACTGCCCCGGGGTCCCGGCTTGGCCTGGGGGAAGAAAACGACTGAAAGCAACACAGGATCAGACCCAAGCTCTAAACCGAGTCTCTTTAAAACATTTCAGACGCTGTCTTCTACGTTGTGGTCTAAGACAGCGAGTAGAGCTGCAGTGGGGGTGTCGGGCAGAGGCTGAGCTCGGGTCAGCTCTGCCCACCGTGGGGACAGGACACTACAGAGACTGGGACACCGCAAGACAGAGCTCTTTACCCTCCTTGTTGTGTCCAGCCACACTTGGTGTGCATCCCCAGGTGCCAGAGATGGCGAAAGCACCGATGTGCCGTGGGTCCAGCCCAGAGAGCGGCTGTGCGGGGCAGGACTGTCCGAGACGCCGTGCCGGGGCTGGGGAAAGGCTGGGGGGGCACCGAGCCCTCCCCCAGGAACAGCGAGTGCTTTCCTTGGCAGGGAGCCACGGGAGGCAGAGCTGTCGCTGCACACGCTCGGCGTCAGACATCATCACCATATTAATAATGAAAGGGCAGCTCCTTCAAAGCTCTTCGTCCCCGCGCCGGCGAGAGCGCAGAATGCAGAGGAGGAGCGTGAGCCTCATCCCAAGCAGCCATGGGTGCCCGGATGGTTCTTTGCTGCTCCTTGCCCAGGCCACTGACCTGGAGAGACAAAGCTCGGCCCGGTCCCCGCTGGGTGCTCTCCCTGCCGGGGGTTTGGCTGCTCTGGGGGTCCGTGCATAGGAGCAGGGCAGCCCAGGGCGTCCCCAGCTCCTGTTCCCAGCGCTGCCCTGTGCAGGCTCCCCTGTTCCCCTCGTTCTGCAGGAAAGGCCATTTTGGCTGCCAGGGAAGGAGTGTCTCTGCCAGGGGCTGAGTGCTCTGTCCGTCGCTGAGTGACACGGCAGGACATCGCTCGCTGTGTCAGGGACTTTTTCTTCCATGGGAGGAATCGATGGCTCAGACAATGAGACAAACCACCCACAAAGAGGTCTTGGGCTGCAGTTTGCACGGGGTCAGTGACATCACTTCTACACTTCTCCCTGCAAGATATTTGGGTTTCCAAAAACCCTCCTTTAACACCCCCATTTTGTCTGGAGCATCCCCAAGCCTGGTTGTACTTTGTGATGGTCTCAGCAGGACCAGACCAGGGGCTGAACATCTTTTCCCCTCTCTCTCCTCTGCCAAACCCTCTTCTCCACTTTTGCCCCTCTTGGGGGGCCAGAGCTGGGAAGGATTTGCTGAAGTTTCCCTGGTCTGGGGAGGAAAGAATCAAACCCTCTGTGCCAGGTGGAGATAGGACACCCCACACCCACGCTGTACCCATCCCCACCCCACATGCTCTCCCTGGCACCGAGTGTTTCAGAAAGTCCCACCCTGCAGCAGTGTCCCACAGGGGTGGATGTTGCTCTGTCCCCCCCCAGCTTTTCTTTCCCAGCCCTTTCTCAAGCTTTTTTCCCCTCCCTCCCTCCAAACACAACAAAAGCCCCAAATCTCCCACAAATGAGAAACCTCTTTTTGTTCCTGTTTTCCCTTTGCTTTCTGCCACGGCAGAGTATTGATTGGAGCTGATGTGCTGTAATCCGCTGTTTCTGTGAGAAGTTGGCATCCCAGGGTCCCTGGAGAGGCCAGATCCTGCCCTGGTGCAGGTTTTGCTCCTCTGCCAGGCTTGTGGATGACAGGAAAGATGCATCCATCCCCATCCCATCCCATCTCATCCCACCCCACTCTCCCATCCTGTCCCATCTCTGCAAATCCAGGGACTGTACACTTGGTGAGAGGCTCATCATGAGCAGCTGATGGCTCGGAAAAGGCTCTGGTTTGGAGCAGAGCCAGGTCAGATCCCACTGGGATGGATATCCAGAGTGCTGGGCTTCTGAAGGAGCCCTCCTGCCCTTTTGGCAGGGGGGACATTACCAGGTGCTGATGAGAGGGGCTGGTTGGGGGTGTCAGCAGGGATCTCCAGAAAGGAACAATTCCATTTCCTGACAGCCAAGGAGGGCTGTGGAGAGACAGGGCTGAGCCCAGGCTGAGACAGTCTCACTGTGGGGTGCCCTGGCTGGAGACCCCCCTGGGCCCACCCACACACCCAGCTCCACCATGCTGCCACTCCATCTACACTTAATGATGGCAAATGGGCCAGAGAGATGGAAAGTGAGGGGAAAGAAACCCAGCCAAAAATTGCCAAAAACCACAGGGAAGATTTTAATTTAAAACCTTTTCCCACATGGAGAGCAGCAGCCTGGGCCATCTGGAGGAGCATATGCAGGTGAGGGGGGGCAGTGGGGCCTCCTTCAGCTCCCTCACTCTCAGCAGCCCCTAGAAAGGGCTTTGGGCTGGTGAAAACTAACCCTGGGAGGGGGGCCTGGGTACCCC